ATATGCCAGAACGTTGTGCAGTTCATTAGTCAGTCTGCACTAAATATTGAAGACGGCAGAGACCAGCCGTGTGAGCGGTTAAAGCGGGTGGCTTCCGTTGACAACGGTGTTTTACGAACCTTTCGCCTGTGATTCAGTTGCAATTGGGCACATCCATGCAGCTCCCGTCCGTGCTAGTTGGCGGGGTTGGACCAGGGAGTGAGCTTAGACCAATCAATATGTGATTACGTATCAAACAACATGAAGCCCTCTGCGTATTCACATGGGGAGGGACTCGATAACGGCCATGGGCAGGGATTAGTCCCCGTCAGCTTTACGTATGCCCTTGGCAGGAAAGGAACACCCTTCACGCCAACTTGCATGGGCTTCAGCAAACTTTATTGTTTGACTATTGAGCTAGGTTATTAAGGCCAGGCATAAGCACTTCGGGGCAGTTGCAGTTCCCGTTCTGTTCAAATGACAGGAATTTACGTTTTCTCCATAGAACAGAGGCGGCACTGAGTCCACTTTGAGCCAGCAATAATGGCCAACAGCCAAGTCCGACACACCCTTGAATAAGGTTTACAAGGGCTCCGAAGCGAGAGTAACCCTATTGTTTTTTCTGCATAGAGCTCATCCTTCGGCGAGTCATTGCCACTGTGCCAGTCTTGACAAGTCAACTGAAGAAGCAAGAAGAAAAAGCAAAACCCTCCCCTGTTCTCTGAGCTGCCAACCTGGTTAGCTCTGTTGTCTCTGGGAATGATCTACAGTAGAGTATCAGTAAGGAGGAAACCTGAGATGAGAGACCGTTTCTTCACCTCGGGTTCGCCGCGTCGGATCCATCGAGGTTACATGTCATATTCTGTAACTGCGGTCCTGCTCCCTTTCTGAAAAATAAAAAATGGATCATTTTCCCCGGACAGATGTCTACTTATCTGGAACTGTGCCTTGCAGCTGAACACCCGTGTACCCACGGAATATTAGTTACGGCGACCTCTGTATACTCATCTCGGCTTCTTCCCATTTGGCACGCATCGACGATTTATCACGAACGAACGACACGCACACGATGGCTATGGGAGGGGATGGGCCGTGGGCCATTGGTGTGATGTGGGCATTGACTGTCGTGGTATTCATCTTTGTTGTGTTGCGCGTATACACCCGGGTTGTCGTCGTCCAATCTTTTGGTGTTGATGATCATGTCTTCAATCTGGCGTTTGTAGGTTGCGTTTCAAGCTCGCCTCTACCTTTTGATCTTTGCTAATGCGTGCCCAAATTGCTAGGTTCTTCTCGTATTCTACACGTCGTTTACGACTACAGCGGCGCATTATGGCTTTGGGCAGAACATGACCGATATTATAGCCCGCAACCCCGACGACCTGCCCTTTGCCATTCTGTTTGAAGCTATCGGACAAACTTTCGCAGTTGTTGGCATGGCAGTTGCCAAATGGTCGCTCGGACTGTTCTTACTTCGAATCGTAAAAGAAACATGGCATAAGATTGCTATCTGGATATCTATGGCTGCTCTAGCCGGCGCATCCATCTCGACTTGTTTCGTCTTTTGGCTACAATGCACTCCTCCAAAGCATCTCTGGGATCGACGAATTCCAGGAAAGTGTACAGTTGACTCAACACCTGTTTCAATGACTCTCTGTAGTAAGTACTTGGACAATTTATTCCTAGGGTCTAGGCTAATGACTGAATGACTGCAGTCCTTTGTGTGATTGTCGACTTCTTCTTCGCTGGCTTCCCCTGGCTTTTCATCTGGGCCCTGCAGATGAAGAAGCGAGAAAAGATTGTTATTCTTTGCAGTTTGAGTCTTGGTGTTATGTAAGTACTATTTCACCATGCTCTCAGGTGACCTGCCGCTGACTATCTTTCCAGCGCAGGTGCTTGCGGTATCAAGAGAACTCTAGAGGTTCCCGAATTGTCGAGCCCAAACTACACAAGTGAGTCATCCACGAACAACATACCCCAGCAGCACCCAGGCTGACTCCTTTTGTGTTTTCAGAGAGTACTGTCGGACTTATTGTCTGGTCAGCAGCCGAAATTGCAGTGACAATGATTTGCATCGGTATCCCCGTCTGCCGACCTCTATACAAACAATATCTCGACAAGTGGACATCCCGAGACGGCAGCAAGTACAAGGAACAAAGCGGCGGCGGCTCGCACCCGCTGCAAACTATTGGCGGCAGTTACATCAATGCAAACACGAACGACACGAACCTCAGCAGCGAGGGCTGCAAGGCCGCTGAATATGAGAAGAAGATTGGCATTAAAGGTCCGTTTACAAAGACAAGGATCTACTCCAAACCCACGGAGAGAGTCCGGAGCGACGACCAGAGTGATGAGTCGATCTTGGGGCCAGACTTTAGAAGGAACCAGCACGATGATCTTGGGGAGCGGGGAATTCGGGTCACCTATGAAGTTACGACTACTCAGCAGGGCATCTAGGTAGACTCGACAAGCGGGCCTTGGGTCTTCTGGACTTTGAGTCATAGATAAGCCTTTTAAGGTATAAATTATTTATTTACGTTTATCGTAATGATTCCGTCGGCAGCTCTACACACCTATGACACAGCCTCAACGCCGAAATGCCTACCCTACACACGATTCCGTGTGAGTCATACTTTCCAACTCACATTATGCTTACATCGGGCTATGCAATGTAACTATAAAGGCCTGCCAGTTCCTCCTTTCTCTGTCAATACATAAATGGTGTACCATATTTATATCATCAGTTAGCAACATGACTGAAAATAAACCTCAACCCCAACCACCCCAGTCTGGACTCAAGACGGCAAAGGGTACTCGCGACTGGGTCGGCCGTGACCTTCTATTGCGCGACCACATTTTGTATGCTTGACCCATCCCAGGCACTTCTCCGTCCCTCCAACTCCGTCGCACGGCTAATTGAGATTCAGTCAGACAATCAGCGACGTTTTCAAGCGTCATGGCGGCATTCCCTTAGACACGCCCGTCTTCGAGCTCCGGGAGGTCCTGGCTGGGAAGTATGGCGAGGATGCCAAACTCATCTATAATGTTGAGGACCAGGGAGGCGAGCTTTTATCGTTGCGATACGACTTGACGGTTCCGTTTGCTCGTTGGCTGGCCATGCACAGTAACGTCAAGCAAATCAAGCGCTACCAGATCGCCAAGGTTTACCGTCGAGATCAGCCTGCCATATCTCGTGGAAGACTTCGAGAATTTTATCAGTGCGATTTTGACATTGCCGGTGTTTATGATGCTATGATCCCCGATGCTGAGATCCTTCGCATCATTGTCGAAGTGTTTAGAGCTCTCAAGCTCGGCATTGTCATCAAACTGAACCACAGATGCATCCTCGACGGCTTGTTCACCGTTGCTGGCGTTCCCCCAGAAAAGATCAGGACCATCAGCTCAGCAGTCGACAAGCTGGACAAGGCCCCGTGGGAAGAGGTTAAGAAAGAAATGGTAGACGAGAAGGGCCTGGCGGAGGAGGTTGCCGACAAAATCGGTGAATATGTCAGGCGCAGTGGCGGTTTGCGTGAAATGATCGATGCCCTCAAGGGGGACCAAGAGCTGTCGGCAAACGAACAAATCCAAAGTGGCCTGGCCGACATGGACCTTCTCGCCCGTTACCTCAAAGCAATGGACGCCATCGACAGTGTTTCGTTCGATCTTTCACTCGCACGTGGCCTCGACTATTACACTGGATTGATATACGAAGTCATCACGACTACCTCGGGTCGATCCAATCAAGTCGGCAGCGTTGCCGCTGGCGGGCGCTACGACAACCTTGTGGGCAGGTATGGCAAACAGACCGTCCCTTGCGTCGGTCTCTCTTTTGGAGTAGACCGTGTCTTTACCATCTTAGATGCTCGACAAAAGAAGAACACCTCAGATCTCAAGAGCGAGGCCGATGTGTACGTCATGGCAGCTGGCGGGAAGGGTTTTGATGGTCTGCTATCCGAGCGCATGGAGGTGGCTCGTCAGCTATGGGACGCAGGCATTAGGGCGGAGTTCATTGCCAAAGTCAAGCCCAAGATGCAGCAACAATTCAACGCTGCCAAGGAAGTGCCTCTTGCCGTGATTCTTGGTCAAGACGAAATTGAAGCTGGCCAGGTTAGACTGAAGGACGCCCGAGCTGGTGACGGGGAGAAGGTTGAGAAAGATCGAGGGCGACTCGTTTCTAGAGAAAATCTGGTTGAAGAGGTGACAAGTCTTTTATCGAATATAGCACTAGAAGAAGGTCAAGATTAGAAATGGCGGGAATTTGGAAGTTGGTACAAGATGCGCGAAGGGTCTAAGGCAGATTTGCGCCAGACGGAACAATAGGAAGAATACAAGCATAGAGATTGTCACTTTGGTATATATACTAGTGTACGCGATGAGCATATGAGCCACACAAGTATGTGAGCCCTAAACTTTCACCTCCTTCGACCTCACTGGGAGAAATAATTATAATAATACAATATGGTTCTATCAACACGCCAGCCAACTCAGCCCGCCCCGTCCTGGATTGGATCATTGGCCATCTACTGCGTTTCAGTCCATTCAGACTAAGCACATCAAGAGGGACGCTTTCTAGATCATGGCGAAAATTAGGCTATTCTATAAAGTAAACGTAAGACCTAGACAATAGCCGGGCGCGTAAGATCTAACAAGGTGTAAGTTGGTAAGTTGATGAGGTTTGTGAATTGGGACTCTAATGCGTATTCTCTCATTGGAAAACCGTTTCTTGTGAGAGTCGGGTGACAAAGCGGGAGGCTATGGTCTGAACGGACAAGTGACGGTCATTCTGGTGATGCCTACGATATACGGAGCTGGTAAGAGATGGATGATATTGGCTAGCTCCTTGCGCGCGAGTTCCTGATAATGGCGACCTCGGCCTCACGAGCCACAGAAAACTGCTATCCATGAACACAAAGCAAGAACTTGACGGGGCCCTGTATTGTCTCAAAACTTGAGTCGTATGCAACAGTGAACGATGCAAAATTACCTCAAAACGTTGTCGAGTAGTGCAAAATTATGATTCAAGGCTATTGATCTGAAGTTGGAGAAATATGGATATGAGTCCTCCCCTCGACCAATACTGATATCCTTACAGCCCCATCTTTATCTGCTTTCACTGTCTTGTCAAGGTAACTATACGTCTGGCCTGGAGCAAGACGTGAGATTCCAAGATCGAACACGCCGGCATCAGCTGAGGGATAGAGAACCAATTCCAAGTCCTCAGATGTATGAGACCTTGCTTTGGCGATAAGGACTCCAGGATATGGCACTCGTGAAAGAATGGGGCCTCTCAGAGCGGTTTCAGATGGGCCCTATCAGCGTTGTTAGATGAATATTACATGATCGACGATGGTGATGGGATACATACCTTCTGGACCATCCGATGATATGCCCCTGGTCGGATGATAGCAGCTGTCAACGCCGCTTGGTTCATCAAACACGACGCATTGTCAGGGTCAAGATGTTGAGACCCCGTCGGAGCTGTCTTAACACCCCATGCTTTCTCAAACTTCCTCACACAAGCCTCCTTCAATTCCTCATCACCATATTCACCTGCAGCAATAGCAAGTTGAGTATACATAGCACACTCATTGGACCGATAATTCCCTGCATCAATCTTATCCGCTCCGACCAGTCCAGTCAGCGAAACCTCTTTCGTCTTGCTGTCAAACTGAACTGTCTCGTTCCGGATGATAGCCCAAAGACGTCGGGAGAAGTTTCTCAACGGACCGCATCCCATCATTATGGCGGCCAAATCTCCGGCTGCACCGCATAGACCGGGAATAGTGAAACCTGTTAGCTCGGACCTTATAGTCAGGACACTACCGCTAGTCTCCGTGAAGTTGGTGTTCAGTGACTCCTCGAATATTGGCAGTAGAACTTCAGTCGATTTTGTTCCAAACACCAGATCGTATAGAACTGCCCCAGTCATGCCTTGTAGATTACACATGACATAGATCCAATTTGGCTCACAGGAGATGAGACAGTATGGGCTAACAGACCATTGCCGCACGAGTGTTTCCTGAAGGTCATGCAGGTTGTATCTATAGGTATGTTTGTCGTCAATGTTGAAGACCAGGCTTCCCGGCTTTGTGTATCTCTTGTCACCTGTGTTGGCAGTATAGAGCATAACTCCCTGCAGTAGGAACCCCGTGACCATGATATTATCTTGCTTGACTGGATCCCAGTCTAGCGAGAACTTGCCAGTTAAACGCTCCCACTTCCAGAAGTTGAGAACCTTCTGAGTCAAAGATCGCTCAATGACTCGTTGGAAAGCTTCGTTGATGTAACCGTGGGCATTTGGGGCGTAAGTAGATTGGTAAAGACCAAGGACGAACATCATTTGGTAGATCTGATACCGAAGAGCTGCAGTTTGATACTGGTCGACAATAGTAAAGCCTGACCAGTCATCAAGACTCTGAAAGGCCTGATCGAACAGAAATTGCAATTTTCTGAGACTTTCAAGGCTGAGTTCTTCGTCGTCTTCTTTTTTGGAAGCTGCGGCGACGAGTCTGTCCGTCTCGGCAGCCTGGTGCAGGATGAATTCGTTCCTCGCTGTTCTCTTCTTATAACCACGTTTTCTCTCAGCTCTTGATGAGGCATTTGCATGAAGGAAACCCGCAAAGAGAATACCTGGGGCCCAATACCCAGCGTTCTTCCAGATGGTATCGCCTGCAGTGAAGTAGGCGCCAAGGATAGACAGGCCCCAGACAAGGAGGGGGAATAAGATTGCTCCAGCACCAAACCATTATTGTTCCAAGTCAGTAACACATACTATAAAAGTAGCTGAGTAAGTAGATAGGGTTGGCTTACCGCGAAGAGAGCAAGGGGGATGCTAGCCCAAGTCACCACGAACAATATTCCACTAAGTAAATTGGCGCTCGCGAAATATCCGGCTCCAGGGAAGATAAGCCCAAGAGCAGCGGCCTTGTGTTTCGGGCCGATATCAACATATTCTTGAAAGAAGATTCCGAGGGCAGTAAAAGTCAAGGTAATCCAGACACCGAGCGTACGTGCCTGGACGTTCTTGCGATGAGGGCCTGATCCAACGTTTGGGGGGATAAGATCTTTCACATATGGTCCTGCGCGTATCAGCAACTTCAAGTCTCTATCATGCAGATTGATAAGCGCATACCTGACGTCCCATAGGGTCGTCCACGTTGGGCACTTGACTTTGATGCGACCATGCTTGATGGTGATGCTGAGAGTGTCTTCTGCAAATACAGGACTGAGTTGCCGGCACTCTAGCGAAATTTGTCTATTCAACATGCCTTTCATATCCATCAATCTGGGGTAATGGATATTACCCCAGACTTTGCGGGGTTGTGATCGTGGGTGATCTGGTCATTCTTTTCTGACTATCCCCTAGCTGAATGGTACATGCGGGGAGTTTGTCAGAATTTTATGACAATTCAGCTTGCAACGGACTATTGTCAACTTTCCGTCGCCAATCAAGGCCAATTTTTTCATCCAATTTCTCTATTTCTCAACATTTATCTTCTGCTCTTCGACATAACTTACACGAATCCCTTCGCACGACCAATCTCCAACTGCCCCGATGTCCAAAGAAATCACGTCCCCGCGGCCTTATACCTCTGAAGCAGAATTTCTTGAGTATCATTCTCAACTATTCAAAACTTTCGCCACCGGAAAGACCAAGAATATCAAATGGCGGAAATGGCAACTGAAGCAAATGTGGTGGATGCTCGTCGACAATGAGAAAGCCATCACCGAAGCACTAGCAGCTGATCTCGGACGCCACGAGTTCGAGGCCCTGACATCAGATCTCCACGGGCTGAAAACAGACATCCTCGAACATCTCAACCACGTGGAAGAATGGGCAGCCGATGAGCCAGTGTCCTCAGCCGGATTCCTCATGGGAACGCTGGGGAAAGCACGCATTCGAAAAGAGCCTCTTGGTGTGGTTTTAGTCATCGGCGCATGGAATTTCCCCTTCCTGCTTACCTTACAACCCGTTATTGCCGCTATAACTGCCGGTTGCTGTGTCGTCGTGAAGCCGTCTGAATTATCGGTGGCTTCTCAGAACCTCATGCAAGATCTTGTAGGGCGATATCTCGACCCGGAAGCCATTAGGCTAGTCACAGGAGGACCACAGGAAACAACACGACTTCTCGAACTTAAGTTCAATCACATCTTCTTCACTGGCTCGACAAAGGTCGCTAAATTCGTTGCTGAAGCTGCAGCAAAGCACCTCACCCCGACGGTTTTGGAGCTAGGAGGTCAGGGACCAGCGATAGTGACAGCGAAAGCGGACGTCGATCTTGCGGCTAAGCGTATCGCATACGCCAAGTTTCTTAACGCCGGGCAAATCTGTCTCTCGGTTAATCACGTTTTCGTCGATCCAGAGGTTCATGACACTTTTGTGGAAAGACTCCAGTATTGGACTCGGCAATTCTCCGGTGGAGAGTCGAGTCATATGTGCAAGATCGTCAATCGACGTAACTTTGACCGACTGTCAGGCTTGTTGGAGAACACTTCGGGGGATGTGTTTCAGGCTTCTGGAAACGCAGGGGACAATAGGTTGAGCCCGACTGTCGTTACTGGCGTGACCAGAGATGGTAAGCTTCTTGGCTGTCTTAGTGAAGTTTCTGTCTAACCTTCTCGAAAGATTCGCTTCTTAGTGAGGAGTTATTCGGTCCCATTTGTCCTGTTATCAGAGCGACGTACAAGAATGCAGTTCACCAGACCAATAGGTAAGTAAACAGTCTTGACCAAGGTCAATCTACTTTCCTTAACATTTATAAGTGGTCCTCATCCTCTCGCAATCTATATCTTCAGTTCAGACCGTTCCGAGATCGACTATGGTAAGGTTTCTCCGTACTGAGAAACAGAATCTTTGCTAACACTGCACATAGTTCTGCAAAATACCATCTCAGGCGGCGTCACCATAAACGATGTCCTAATGCACTATGGCGTACCAGGCGCTCCATTCGGTGGTGTAGGTGATTCCGGGCAAGGCTACTATCACGGCAAATACGGCTTCATGGCCTTTACACATCAGAGGACCATCTTGGAAATACCGACTTGGATGGATAAGCTTATGGCGTTTCGATATCCTCCTTTCGACGTGAAGAATATGAGCAACTTTGTGGTGAAGAACAACTTGGGCTTCCGGCGAGGAGAGACGATGGAGGATCAGGTGGTCGGGGGTAGTAGAGCATGGGTTTGGGCAGGACTTGGGGTCTTGGTTGCTTCTGCGATTGGTGTTGCTTCGAAGAACCGTGAGAGTGTTCGTGGGATATTTCTGTAAATTTAGAACAGAGAGCATAGGCCATCATCCATGCGCAGTGAGAACAGAGTCATTGTTTCCTCGCCAACCACTATAACGACATCTTGTTCGGACAAAGCATTCCAAGAGCGTGTGTCTTTGTCAACTTTTGAACTTACAAGCCTGTGCCTAAGCGATGATCTTCTCTACTGCTCAATATTGCAGTCCCTAACCCTGCTGTCGACCATTTTGGTTAGTCATCGTAACTGTCGTGTCAAACACAACGTGTGTCGGAGTTTACGAATTCCTTGCCTAATTTGACATTAGTGCCTTTCCGGATCCAGCCCTGACACCCGATGCAGGAACTTCCCCAGCCAAGGATATTGATGTAATTATGCGTCTCACAACTCATTTTTTTCTGACTGTACTTTTTATTTTTTGCGTCATGTATACATGACATTACCTATCCTGGTGCTGCTTATGCATAAACGGGCATTGGATCACCTGCCGAATTCTTCACGTGTCATTAACTAACGGTGTCACGGTAGCAGAGTTACTACTACTCAAGGATTGCCTCTGTTCCGTCAATTTGCATCGCCGAGCACCATTTGCGTTCTATTTATCCTGCCTATTACTTTTTTTTCATTACCCAGAATAAAACACCAGCTCGGGCACAAATGCTTCCTCCTAACGCTACTGACTATGTCTCATCTCTACTCACAGAGGCTCATGAGCTCTCACAGCCATTACTCGATGGACTGTCAACCTCTCCACTCACTACACCCGTTTCATTGGCGTCTGTACTAGGCCTCGGCTACTTCGCAAACAAAATTCTAGTCAGCAGGGCTTTGAACCACGGCACGAAAGCCTACTTCGATTGGAATAAGGAGATTGTGTTGGTTACTGGTGGATCAGGCGGCATTGGAGGTGAGACTGTGCAGCAGTTGGCCAGCAAGAGTATTCGTGTGGTTGTGCTCGATGTACTTGCTTTGACTTATAAACCTCGTGAGTTACCTCTCCTTATGGAAGGGTTGACAGTCACTTACTATGGACAGCATCGAATGTTTACTATTATAAATGTGACCTAACGAATTACGAGCAATTGCAAGAAGTCGCTGGAAGAATCAAGCGGTAGTTTATACCACAAGAGCAGGCGATTACATTGGCTAACTTTGCCCATTAGGGAGGTCGGGGAACCTACAGTAGTTGTAGCGAATGCTGGTGTCTGTCGTGGAAAGCCCCTTTTGAAAGCCACCAAACAAGATATCGACCTGTTAGTATACAACCATATCCGTCCATCAGCTTGGACTAACCCGATATCCAGTACAATTGGAGTTAACACTCTAGGTCTCATCTGGACCATAAAGACCTTTCTTCCCGCTATGGTATCCCGCAACCACGGTCATCTTCTCATCGTCGCCTCGCAAACAGGCTACTTAGCTACCGTCGGCATCACCGACTACGCAGCTAGCAAGTCTGCCGCTATCGCAATCTACGAAGGACTACATACCGAGATCAAGCATGTTCATAAAGCTACCGCAGTCCGTCTTTCGTGTGTCTCACCGAGCCATGTACAGACCCAGATGTTTACGGGTGTTAAGTCTGTTCCTGGTATGTCCACCATGACAACCGAGTATCTGGCAGACAAGATCTGTGGGATTCTCTTGAGTGGAAGGGGTCAGAACATTATTGTTCCGGCTGCCGCTGGAATGTCACCTTGGGTTCGTGTTTTGCCGAGCTGGGTTCGCGTTCTTCTGCAAGATGCCGCGGCTCCAGCCTTTACGGACTTGAGACCCCATGATCCGTTCAAGCAAACTGCGTAAGCAGACAGTTCATTATTTGGATAGTAATTTTATATGATGTGTACTCTTTGTTGCCAGGAAAATGTGACTCTACAGTTTACAGCCTGTTACTCTCCAGAACTAAGTTCTCCGTGGTGATATACGCCCTGAGCCATAAGTCTGAGCTGCAAATAATGCATCTAGCTTACAACGTCAACATCATATCATAGTGTGAACTACTTAATGCGAACAGGCTTATTAACTGTTAGCAATGCTTGGCTTTATATCTACGTAAATCATAAAACCCAGTTTACATAAATATAAGAGTGGTACAAGTCAAATCTTATCATTATCAAACTCTTCTTTATGGCTTGCCTTCCTCAGTACATTCACCAAGAACTCGCCTGCGCGACTTAAGTATCTCAACCCACTTGTCCCTCATTTACCCTTGAGCTATTCCATAGCACAACAGCACTACTGAGCCCCATTCCGATACTAGACCAAACCCTTTGCAATATGTCAGTCACCATTGTTCATCCTCAATGTCATTACAACTTACGGAGAAGGTGGTGTTATCTCACCAACACCAAGTGCACGGGCTAAAGATAGGACATTGTAAACCACAGCCCAACAATTGTTCTGTATCACAATGCTTCTGACACGCCGTGCCAAGAGTATCATTAACGGAATTCGACTCAGCGGAGAGGTCTCCGACGAGGTCACCGTCGCATCCGCACAGTCAGCATCATCAGACTTTATATCTGAGCCTGCGACACATATGCTAAATGATGCAGATGCAAAGCATAAAATGTCGTTGTAGTTGTCACCCACGTAGATAGCCGGTCCACGTTCAAGAAAGCGGGCTAGAATGCAAGACTTTTCTTCTGGAAGGGCATTGGAGAATACCATGTCTGAATCAATGCCTACTTCACGAGCGACAGAAGTAGCTGAGACTGCGTTATCCCCAGTAATCATTCCAACAGCCAGACCCATGTCTTTCAATTGTCGTATGACTTGATGAACATTGGAACGGACTGTATCTTGGAGTACAAATACAGCAGCCTGTTTGCCATCAACGGCCAGCACAACAGCCGTTGTAATTCCATTTCTCATTTCCACGGGAATTTGACAGAGATCGATGGAAACTCCGAGGCTCTCGATATAAGCACGGCTTCCAATTGCCAACTTCCAAGTGGCGAACACTCCACCGGACTCAGACAACGGCTGAGTGGCTGTCACAAACGCTTGAGCGCCGCGACCAAGTTCGTGGTTGATTTCCGATACCACCAAGTTAGGTAAATACTCTTGCTTCTCTCCTATCCTTGATTGACTCTCTTGGAAAAGCGCTCGGGCAACTGGGTGGGTGTTCCCAGCTTCAACTTCTTGTACAACCCTCCACAATATGTCTTGCTTTTGTGATGAATACCACTCCTTAGAGAAGTTCGTATGTGTCACTTTCAGATCTCCATGTGTGAGCGTACCAGTCTTGTCAAAGAGAATAGTTCGAGCTGAGGTAGCGTTTCGCAGCCTCAAATAGGTAGTCACCAACCGGACTCCAAGCTTCGATGCTCGCACTGATCAAACTACTGGGTCAGCTGTATTTTATTCGACCTTTCTTGGAGGCATACCTGTAGCAAGTAGTTTACAAGTTGGAATGCTCAAACTTAGTGAGCACGGGCAAGCAGCTAGTAGTAACGCTGAAGCTCGGCCCAGCCCATCAGCCCAGCAGCTGCCCTTGGTGAACACGAGATAAAATGTGAGTATGCATGTTGTAATCAGGATAACTGCACTTGAGAACCATGAGGTAGCACGATGAAGCTGGGGCTCTGAGTTGGCCATTTCCGCCGTTACGATGGACGTGAGGAGTTGACCTAGGCGAGTCGAACGCCCACAGGCTGTTGCCCTACAGACGATCGATCCTTGTTGTACCTGACCTCCCGCATATACAGCATCGCCGTTTTCGACCAGTCTAGGCTCCAATGAGCCGTTGATCCAAGTCTCTATGACTAGAGCCGATTCCGTGCTCTCGACTATTCCATCACAAGGTATGTGCTCTCCCTGGCTCACAATAACGCAATCGCCGGAAGACAATAAGTCAACAGGAATATCAGAATATTCGGTAGCTGTGCTGTGTACCATGGCAATGGTAGGCACAAGATTTGAGAGCGGAGATGCGAAGACCCGGTTTCGCTGGGAGAGGATGGCTTTGAGTAAGCGGGCCCCAAGGACACTTGTAGACAGAATTGGAATGGCCTCCAGGGACTTTGGATCGACGCGATGAATTCCATTCATTTCAGTCTGTACAGTATCAGTCACGGCTTGTATAAGCGCCAACATGATACCCAGTGATGCAAGAGTTGCCATGTTTGGTCTTCTTCCGTGCCATGCAGAGCGTAAAGCCTCAACATGGAGTTGTAATCCAGATACTAGACTCATTGCAACAGCGAAATACGCAATTAAGTTTATGTTATTGTTTTGCGTCGTCCACAGGGCTTTGATGGTGCGTGACGCGAAGAAAAGGACCGATGCCGCTGTCGCCAAAATAAAGTCGCGCTGACATGAATTTACATGATGTTGCTGGGAGTTTCCGGGCTTTTGAATAATAGATAACAAACTAGCCCAGCTCTGAGATTTAGATGAAGGCAGTGGATTGGCATCATAGCCGGCAGAGCGGATGGTCTTAATGATATTCTCCTCTGTCACAACATCATTGTAGAATTCTACTTGAGCTCGAAGTAGGCCGAGTGAAACAGTGGCCTTCAAGACTCCGGGGATAGACCCGATTATGTCTTCAACATCGGATACACGACGCGCAGGTTAGGCCATCTAGACTCAAGATTCTGGCCTGGGCACCTTTGATGGCTTTCGGTCGTTGGGCGGGGCTATGCTCGACATGGCTTTGGCGAGGATAAAGACTGCATAGTTTCTCATGTATGTTGAGAAACCGGAAGACGATATAAGCTCCAACAGCACAACAGGCCATGATTGTCGACTTTGGAAGATTGACTGGCAATACTCTCTCGGGACCTGAATGCCCAACTAAAAATAAAGAACAATATGCTAATGATACACTATTCCGACCCCATTCCCACTTAGTTTAGGCTTGGCTACTACAACGCACTAACTATTGCTTGCACTAGGCTGACAAGGATATTTCTGACATCCTCTTTTCTGACAACGCCGTTTCTGACACGTATTCTTCTGACTAGATCAAGCCACATCACATCACCAGCAGTAAACCATCGCCGAGGGCGCAAGATCTCGTTTCGTAACAGCTAAAGCAAGCCACATGTCAGTGCACAACCTCCAAACTCCGTAATCATCGCTTACCTGTCGAGCAATCCAACTTGGGATATTTCCGCGCAAACTCTTTGCTCAATTTCCACTCACAAAAGTCATCGAGGCCCAGAAACTTGGCTACGTCGTTTGCTCGACTCTCCTCCACGGGATCATCCTCTATAATTGGCGCCACGGCGTTTATCTGACGGTCTAGTTCTTGAAAGATGGCTTCTTCGACTATATCATGTTCAGAAGAGTACCATTCGCCAACCTCAGGGCCAATCTCGAATAGTGTCCATGATGGATCGGTGAAGTAACTCCTCTGAGGGGACTTTTGGTGCTGACGTCGTCGCAGGACCTGATTTTCGAAGATGTCAAGAACATTTACCGCGACACTATGGTTAGCGGGTTCTATCACCGAGTGCAAGACAAGGTCTTTGATCAGTTCGTCGAAATCAGTGGTTTCCGCCTCGAGGACGAGTTGATCTCTGATTTCGGGCCAGTTGAACAAATCGATGCCCCAAAAGTGCGTGGGGTTTTTGGACTGGAGGGGCGTTGGCCGGAATGGAAGCGGAACCGAATTTCTTGACTCGATTCCAAGGCGCCAACTGATGACTCTTTCTATATACTTAGCCCCATTCTATTATTCACATTAGCTTGCGAGTCATTGTTGGTGGTTCATCTGATCTTACCACTCCATAGGCATACGATTCCAGTCCTGCGCAGCGCATAGAGAAGCGCACAGCAGTCTTGATTATCTTTTCGACCATATCGCTATGGTTTCCAGCGTCGCGAAGGTTATCCAGGTGTCGACGACAAGCACCAAGGAGCCTAGACCCAAAGATTGACATTGACGTGATACTGAGCTGATTTGGGACGAACAAAAGGGATCTTGGTGATAAAGACGACATAGCTGGATCTAAGAAGGTACCCCCAGGCTGCATTGTGCTTGGGGTTAATGCCTCGTGCTGTACCTGGCCTACCGTTGATAGATCCAAAAGAAACGACGCGTCCTTGAATATGTCCGTATGAGTGACTTGCTCCGGGATGTCCTGGAAAGACTGATTGTTGACCGACGGATTGAGAGCAGGTGGTGTTTCGTGATTGGCTAAATCCATCCTTGGTGCAGATTGCTGCGCTTCCGGGTTTTCAGCATCTCTCCTTCGAAATATAGAACCGAAAACCTCATCATCTAATAGCAGTGTCAGCTACACCCCTGCGAGGCACAAGTGAAAAAGTAAGGCTCACCCGCCGCAGCAGTAGCAGCTTGACCGAAACTGAGTAACTTCTTACGCAGCCTCAGCAAGGCATCTTCCAGCTTCCGGTTCTCAGATATTAACTTTAGATGCGCATCGAGAAGAACAGAGTACCGATCTTGAGGGTCTGAGCCCGTCGCTACCTTCTGCAACAGCTCAATCGTCTCCTCCAGGTTACGGATGTAGGTGATGTTCTTTTCGCGCAGACACTGTTGCGAGATGCGGTTCTGTGCTCTTTTGCGCTCGGATGGGTCAAGGGCGCTGGCAGCCTTTCTTTTGGTTGGAGGCATGACTCTGAATCGATGGAGCGAGGTGGTGATAGATCGCTGATAAGATTGTTTTGTGGGGGCGGAGCTGGTTTTTACGGTTGCATCAAAGACAAGGGTTACGGGCTTTCGGGGCGCCAGGATCCCCGAGTTCCCCGGATTCCCCTAAGTAGCTTCAAGCTAAACTGACATCTTCCCCACAAACTACGGGCTTTCTCTCTCCTCGGTTATCCTTATCATGTTCTAACTCGAGGATGATAAAATTCTTCCGAGTGGCAATTTATTGTTTTACTCTCCTTGGCCTTGTAAATCATAAATTCGGTCTATCTCAAGTTCAAAATAATATATCTACCTACTACCTTTGATAAAGACAAGTACGAATAGAGTCCACGATCAAGCAAATGTCTGGTTGACCTCGTCTCTATGCTTCTCGAGATATTCCGAGAATTTGGTCAGGCGGATCGGATATTTCTCCAGCTCCTCAAAGTCGACTTGATATCCAACTTCATTCGCCCACAACTCGGCATAGATCTTCGGGTTCCTCAATGCAGCATCTTTCGCTTCTTGCTCACTATAGAACTCGAGCCCAATTTCCACTCCACTGACTCGGCTCAGCTCCTGCACAATCTGAGCTGGCGTAAGAGACTCGACGCCCAAATCTATCTCATGCTTGTTGTAAGACAGCGGTTCAGTGATTGCTGCTGCCGCAAATTTGCCGACGTCGCTTGGATCAACCACTGTCATCGCAGTCTCGGGTTTGTATGCCGACAGAAACGTTCTTCTCTGGCCCAATTCGGGAAACATGTAAGATGCCGTCGGCTGATGATAGTTGTTCATGAGAAAAGCCGGCCGCAAAATTGTCCAGTATTTAATGCCGGATTCTCGTACCATAGACTCGATCTGGGCTTTGCTCAGCCAGTACCACGCCAAGGGGTAGTCGGGTCCCCAGTTCGGAAACTCTTCATGCTTTCCTGTCATGGTGACGCTGGAATAGACTAGGCTAGTGACTGTTCCGGATTCAGTAGCAGCGTCGATGATATTCTTTGCATGAACTGCCTCCAGGTTGGTGTCAGACAACACCGGCAATACGTTGAGAAAGACGGCAGTGGCTCCTTTGACCGCAGCCTTGAGTGAGGATATGTCATCGAAGCTGCCGGGGAACAACTGCGCGCCGAGGCGCTGGAGCTCGATTGCGGACTTGGAGGAAGGGTCTCTAACAAGTGCGTGAACTTTGACGCCAGCGTTTAGGAGTTCTCGAGCAGTGGCGCCGCCCTGATTGCCAGTTGCGCCAGTGACAAAAGCAATAGTCTGGGACATGATCGGGAAGGAAAAGGTAAAGTTTTGAGCAAACGAAGTGGTGAAGTAATTAGTGATCTATTTCTCAAGTGATTGTTTTAGGGTTTTCTCAAGATGTTCTGTTAAAGGAGGACTGGCATAGTTTAAATACTTGGACTCAACAGACCTCTACTGTAGATGATGTCAGCCTAGCCAAAAAAGGAATACACCTCGATGATGTGGATTTCTGACGAGATCCCTGGGGCGATTACAGTTACTACGGCACCTACTCGTCAGTGGTCTGAATTCTTGGTAGAAATGGCTTCTATTTTCAACTATCACGTTAGATGGCGCGCCGTGGACTTGCGGATGCGTTAAGGTGGACCTGACTATTCCGTATCCAGTAAACAGCTCGACACGATTTCGAGGCTAGTGCTGTCCTGGTCTAGTGTTGAAGATTACAAAGCATGCGAGACTATGGGCATCACATAATTACGACGCTACCAGAACAACGACTCGAAATCATGGCGTTTCACAAATGAAGGCATGAGCAACATGGTCTATTGCGGAAAGCCCAGCAGAGCCTGCTCGGAATGTCGAGTCAAGAGGAGAAAGGTATGTATCGCAGTCGTCCTACCCCAAGAGATCCTAGCGTGTTAACAGATCTGGGAGCGAAGTGCGACTTGTCGAGGCCAGCATGTCGTCAATGTCGCGGGGCCGGTTCCAGATGTGATGGATATCGAGGAGAGGAGTCTGTTATCTTCAGAGATCAAACTGCCGAAACTTTGGGCAAGGTGGCAGTCTTTTCAAACGCAAATTTACCTAATGGCAACCAGGGTGTTTTGGTAGGACTTAAGCTACCCCAACAGGCCAAAGTCCATCATTCGCAAGATACCGCCAGCCATTATCCTTGGTTCAGACTTGAGGTCACGCCGGAAGACCAAGTCCTGCCTTTCTTTTTTCACCACTATGTTTTGCCTGAGTCTGGACGGGCCCCTACTCATCCCGACTGTCACGGCATCATCTACAAACGAGCAACAGAACCTGGATACTTGGCTAACCTCATCAACGCTGTCGGACTGGCCGGTCTAGCGTATTTAAGGAACGCGCCCACGCTCATCAATTCAGCCAGAAAGTCGTTTTCTCACGCACTCCGAGATATATGCGCTGCACTCATGGACCCTAGTGAAGCATCGTCCGACCAGATGTTAGTCGCTGTAATGCTTCTAGCGTTATACGAAGTAAACCTTCTATCCCTTCCAGGACAACTTAGGCCAATTAATAACTTGAAACAGACTGTCGCGTACAATTCTGATGGAGGTTTGAGTCCGTGGAGTAGACATGTAGATGGTGCCATGGCATTGCTACAGCTCCGAGGAGCAGGCCAGCTACGCAACAGGATCGGCCGGAGCATTTTTCACAGCTTGCGCTCTGAAATCGTAAGAGAACCTCAGGAAACCCATGTCAGGTAACCATCTGACTTTTCGATAGCTTATCAACTGCCTTCAGCGAAGGCTGCCGGTACCAACAGTACTGATAGACTTTATGGCCGAGGCTCACAGTAATGAAACAGAACAAGAAGCGCCCGCGGCTCGGCTAGCAGACATTGTTGTCAGCCTATGCGCTTCTTTATCCGCAGCCGAGGAAGACATCACGGACGAAGAGATTTTGTCTTCCCACGTTTCAAGACTATTGTCGATCGATGCAGATCTCAAGGACTGGGCCCAAACACTCCCAACAGAATATGGGTACAACACCCGAACCAAACCAAGCGATCTCGATGAAGCGGGAGTGTTCATGGGACGATATGACATATATTCCAGTGTGTAGATTGCCAACACGTGGAACTTGCAGCGCTGTGCGCGTATTATTGTACGTCAAGCACTTGTTGAAACCTTATCGAAATGCTTCCACATCCCGCCTTGTTCATCTTTCTCTGCATCATACAGAGACCTACTCCAGACTTCAGCTATAGTCATAAAAGAGACCTCTAGTGATATATGCTGCAGCATTTCATACATCTTGCATGCTTTTAATGAGGCAGGTAAATCGAGCGGTCTGCGGGCTGCTCATGCTTTACACCTATTATGGCCACTCTACATCGCAGGAACAACACATAATTCCACTGAAGCTTTACGGGATCGGATCATATCAACGATGGAAGACATCAAGGACGCTGCTGGTATTCAACAGGCAAAGCGTATAGCCCTGGCTCTACAACACCGGGGCTCGGAGCTAAGATGCCAAGACAATACCACGAACCAGACAGATCATGATATTTGGATTCGATCATAGAACCAGGTTCAGTAACCGGATATGTTAAGGATGGATGTTTATCGTCCAATTTGTCAGATGCCGTAGAGGCAAGCAATCTGGAATCGTTTTTGGTCTGGGTAGAGAATTGTGCTCGTGAACCACAAGTGTCGGCCCCTGTATTTGGCCACTGTGAACAGGGTGATGCCAATGAATAACAGGACAGGAATGGGACGGAAATTGTGTTGGGGCTTCTATCAGTTCAGCCGCAAGCCACTGAAAGGCGAACCAATCAACAGCAGGTTCCAAATCTTGTCACCATTCCCACCAACCAGGAGTTTCATCAACTGAATAGCTGGTGTAGTATTACACTGCTTCGAAATATGAAGGTCTTGGGACTGCGTATGTATTTGGCTACTAATTCAATACTGACGGTTATGTACTGTACTCCTGTCTGTTACGTTTAGTAACTGAGGTTGGACGGAAGGTAAGGTTTTCATAAGGTCCTATCCGTCAATACTAATAAATAAAAAGAAATATCTATATAAGTGACTTCCCGGGTAAAGTCGAATAACTCTCAAATACAGTTAAATGACAATAATTTCTTCTAGATCAGGAGAGACATAGACATCCTGGAGACCTTCAAGCGACCAAAGGATGCCGATGAACTGAAATGTTAGTTCATCATCCAGACTCGAAGGTTCACGCGGTCGTAGGAGCGCCCCGATCCTGCCGCAAATTGTAATGTTAGTAACAAAATCACCCCTTCTGACGTCACTTGGGCCGATCCGCTGATGCGTCTCATTGGACTGTATGAGGTCACGCTGTAAGGGTAATGTCAATATCAGCCGCTTGTTTCCTTCGCGCATCATTCTTGAAACATCTTCAAGGAAACATGAGATTTTCTCATGGCCATCTCCAGGCTGCTCTGGATGCCCACGGTACCTCATGTCTAACTCGGCCTTCCACTCCATGACTTGTTCAGGATCGTTCACATGCGAATCCCTCACGACTTGGTACAGAATTTCAGCCATCTTAAGGAACCTGTGAAGGTGTTCTTCCGATTCTCTATCGTCACGAACCCACTGAGTGCATCTCGCCATATCCTTATGATCTCGCAAGAAGCCATGATTCGCGTACCCGAAAAAGTGAGTTCCAGTGATAAGTAACAACAAAGTTTTCATGACTGGATAATAAGGATTCTGGGGCCGGCTCCTTGACAGCGGTTTGAGAATCCAATCGGCCAAGTGTTTGACTAGATCTTCGCTTGTATTGGTCTCTGGCCATGGATCACAAATGTCCACGACGATTTCATGTTGTTTTCCATATATAACCAAGCCGTGGCGGTCACCTTCCGAGTACTCAGTCGGCCGAGGATATATAAACTCCTCCAGCACTGGCCATATTTCGCCGGAAGAATATAATGGATGGATCATGTCGTAATAAAGATCTTTGTCGATGCATTGACTGGCCGGCACGGTCTCGGACATTTGCGCAAGGGCACCCTTTTCTTCATTCCTCGTTCTAGTCCAATTTGGTACCCATGATGACCACTCTGGATTGACTTCCGATAGACTGCCGAACACATCTATATGGCAAAGAATTTCCAAGAACCTATCGGCCCAAATGCAGTGATGAACAAACTCTCGGAATACACTCTCTTCTCTGAGCGTGTAGTCTGGGGTTGGAATTGCTTTTGGTAAGGGGCTTGATACTCGGGGGAATCGCGTATGCGGTCGATCACATCGCGATGAAGAGGAAATGGCTCCAGCTTCTGAGCGATGCCAAGGAGTGCATAGATTTTGTCGCTCGGGTTTGAACATCGGCTCTCGTGGAGCTTCCAGATGAGAGATAAAAGATCCGCTGGCTTCCTAAGCGTTTCGAGAACGTTAAGAGCATATAACGCTCCTGAATCGTTTTTCAGGCCCTCGAGTACTTGTGCCTCATTGTGTATAAGTCTCAGCCCTTCTGTGAACCAATGCCACGATATTTTACTACTACCACACCGGACGATGGCATGTCTAGCTAAAAAGCCTTCTTGGAGAGTCCAGCGTCTGGTGAACCAGGGCTGGTTGAGAAGATCCAAAACAGACTCCAAACCGTAATCTCCACAAGTTTCTTTTGCGATGTCAAGGATCTCTCCAGCTTTTGGATATTTAGCCTCGCCGGGCGTCGGTTCGTATTTCGCAATGAGGGTTCTGAGAAGAGCAAAGGCGAGTGGGACAGACGGCAGTGCAGGCCCGAACCAAATCTGAACTTTGTTCACCATGTGATAGATCTGACCCATTTGCTGGACTTGAACGCTCTTTTCTTGATCATCCTTCAGGTTTAAATACACAGCGTCTACCCATAATCTCCTTTCCTTAGAATCTTTACGGAGATTTCTCAGCATCTCATCAACGACAGCAGAGATATAAAGACATGCCGCTTCGCCTCTGCAGTACAGCGGAAGTGTATGCGCACCGATTCCCCATACGTATGATACGGCTCGAAAGTCTCGTTATCCGGATCTCGGAGGAGTTCCATACGGTCCCGGATAACTAGGTCGACTTCTAGCGGCGCAGTTGCGTCGGTGGCCGGATGCAGGATTAAAATTCTAATACTACTCGCCGTTGGCAATGGCTTGTACTCATAGAGCTGCATGATTGATGGGTCTTGATCGATTTAATAGATTTGCATGATATCTTCGAGAAAATACTATAAAGATGCGCGATTTTGCGAGATTACCAAGACAGGCAAAGAACCTCTTTGAAATATTAGTGGCTACTTAAGAGCGGGGTTAGTCCTACAAGCTTAAAAGTACATATTCAAGTGGTATTATAATCCCAATTGCTGGCGAACGGCAGTCTTCTACTTCTGAGTCAGTACTTTTAAGGGTATCATTTGAGTAGACGTTGAAGTTATAAATTTATCTTCAACCAAAGCCCATTAATCTAGTCAAGATGCTACCTAGGTACAAACTGCCCAGGAGGCGCTAACTACATCAGCCTCGTAGGGCTGACAGCAATGCTGACTGGTGGGGTTAGGCAACCTTGAACGTGAAAATTATTTTTATCAAACAACACAATTTCGTAACAATCTCGTCGATACAGGTCTCTGCATTCAACTTAGCCCTCTCTTTAATCACAACCATGTCTAGCTCAAAGAAATCAAGTCGAGGAACCTCCGTAGCAACCGAGTTCAACCAAGCCCTTCAGGAAACCCCCGCATTTGAACCAATGCGATACACAGCAAACTATGTAAGGATGGCACAGGTAACATGATCGTCGTCCAGGAACAAAAAGTATATTCTAACATATTGTCAGCTTGAAATGAGTGCATCTGAGCTTCAAGCTCTCATGGCTGGGCTTAAAGAGGCAGAGAAACTCTTGCCTGAGAATTTTGATCCAGATAAGGAGTCGTGGCCACCGGAGGCAGAAGAGCTTAACCAAAGGATGGAAGAAATGTTGAAGAATTATGATAATCTTGCTGGGTGCTTTAAAAAATTTGTGCAAAGTGCACAGGCTGCAGGTGCAGGTATAGGAGCTAAGCGCCAGCAGTGATTTGGTACAGCAAATATGGCTTGGTTACTGGCGTTGCTAAATTACGATGATTGTTTCAACATGTTATTATGCGTCAACTGGGTTCTTATGCCGGCGATAGGGGCATCTGAATGGCGAAGCGGGATCAGCGCCGCTGAAGTTGAGAGAGAAAAGTTGGTTCGGCGCAGCCATGATGAAGATTATCTGGCGTCTATGGTTAATGTAGATATGATTCTTGATGAGTAATGTAGAGAGTAGAGGTGATGGGAATTGTAGAGGATATTGAGGGGTATACGATCCGTCTCTTGTCAGGCGATCGACAACCGTTTATAATGCCAGCACCAACCTGACATGGGCACGCTGACTACTGCAAATTCTGGGGACCAGCGTCAATCAGCCAGTCAGCTTTCTGCACCTTGTTTTAGTAAACGAACACCAACAAAGAGCTGTCATAAGCTAAGTTGATTACATGCCCTCCACAACGTCTCAGTGCAGGGTGAATGTAGGTCTGTTCTCTGGTCTAGATCCTTAGCGATGGTCTTCACCGCAATGCAAAATCCAAACTTTCTGTATTTGGCAGCCAGGCGCATGTTTGGTCTGCATAAATGGCAGATGACGGCAGGGGTGTTGTCAGGGCTGACGGGGGAAAACCTGCTTCTACCCGTCTTCCATAGGCATTCTACGCGCATGTCAGTCTGTGCTCCTGACATACGAGACGTTAGGGGCGGTGTCGACCAGCGCTCGTGGGCAATAGTTTCAGTCGGGCGTTCATGGGGATTCAACACAGTGTTCATGTTGGGCCTATAGAGGGGCATGGTGATAGCCACAAAGTTGGACAATCAGTTGAGCTTATTTGGCGTTCAGTAGAAGCCAGTTGTATATGATATATCAGAAAACAAGCGTCAGAGAGACAGGACAGCATCGTATGCGACGGGCGAAAGCAGCAAGTGACGGCAGAGGAAGTCTTGCTTCCCGCACGCCAAACCTGCGATTAATCGGTACCATAACCTTTGATATGGTACAAATCTTATGGATAACAGAATAAGCTCATCGCCGTCGTCATTTGGAATGTTGGCCAGGCCGTTTATTGCTCCAAAACTTCTGCCCAGAGGGGATGGTCCGTCGCAAATTGCTTATTCCCGCTTTGGCCGCCACTATGTTTCTCTGCTGGCTATGGTGGGGGCGCACGGCTCGAGTGTAGCCAGCCGCACACTTTTTTGGCTGACGCAATACCCTGGTAACTTGCTTAACTGGCAAGCCACGTTTACTGAAGCTGCATGTTTGCCCATGAACTTTCGGCCTTTTGACTAAATCATGAGTGACAGTCAAGCCATGATGCTGAATTGCAGGGATGATAGCTCTATGCAGAGCGATTCCCGCTCACTCTGAAGACCAGCCAGATCGGCTGACGGAGAGCTTGATGGGTAGGCTTACTCCTCTCTTGTGCTAGCCAGTATCCTGGGACAATCGGGGGTTTCCTTGGTTCAGGAGGCTAACGTTGTTTGTAAAGGCTGCTCAGTTGAGCGGCGATCAGTTTGATCGCCAGGCACACCGTCAGAGCTCCCGTAACTCTGGGCTGAACGGGATCCTCATAGTGGGGATGGGGGAGCTACAGCTCCCCTCATTGCTCTGAGAAGTATGGATCTGTTCAAGCCGCCCACTTACCTCTCTCAAAACGTTGGGGAGAAATGTGGCGTCTATTGACAGGGGCTCTTCCGCTCTCGAGCGAAAGGAGTTTGCATATTTCTGGACCTCAAACGTACAATAGCAGGAGGCGGGGTCAACTAGTGTCGACCTTTTCTGAACCGGAAAACCCCGACAGCAACCTCCCAGCTGGAAGAGACACGGGGAGAGCTAAAGAAACGGCTGCGTTATGTCCCAGATTCAGCCCTAGCTCCGTTGTGAAGAGCTGGGACGCTGCCAGTGCGTCATCCGTTTGATTGCCGGCATGGGTGACAGGGGGGGGAGGGGACCCAGCTGCAACACGGTTCCCGATCCCAGAGCAAAGGCACGGAGTTAAGCTTGAGCTATGGTTAGCCACGTTGAGTTACGACCGCTGTTGGCGCTTGAGTATATTTTTTGTAGTTCAATCTGGTTGCAGACCGGTGTTTTTTTGACGAAGCACGAAGCTGGTCCTTTAGGAACCCCCACAGGCTGCTAGCTCTGCCGCGATGCAACGGCGCGCTTAATAAGGTTCACTAATGCATTTCCCACGATGGATGTCTCACGCCGTTCCGCCCCCAGCAGATACAGCGGCCCCTACCGCTACCGGCATCGTGGAACCAGCGGGAGACAGATCTTCATGGCGACTGTGCCGTGCGTGATCCCAATTCCGATCCAAAATCGCACAGACACGGGGAGCTTGAAGGCTTCTATTGAAAACACTGCACTGTTTCCATTCCCCCTTCAGAACGCGACAGACAGAAAATCCCCCATTGGCTGAACCGACCACCTGGGATAATCGATGAACGAACATGATCTCACAACGTCCAGCGCTGCTTCTGGAATCTTCAACACGGCCTGTACCCCGTCTGTCCAAATCCTTTAACTGGTCAATCCACCGTGACGTGTTTTATTGACCTGTTGAGGCTGATGCGCGTAACGGGAAAAGGATGCCTCTTCTTCTTCCACAGCGATAGCATTTCTGAGGTCCACTTGTATCAACAAAAACATTGCCGTGAGGCAGAAATGACTTCGTTGGGATGTAAGCGTGGCAGTTGCGAAAGTATTAGGGAATATTTTAGTAGCTCATCAACTCGATGTTTCCACTTAACATACATTTGAGATGATGAATTCAATGTAATTTGAACTTCATTGCGATGGTTTCCTCCTAACTGACGATGATAATGTGTCCTCAATAAAAGTTGACAATGAAGTCTTACCAGATGTCAGATTAGGCAATTCTCACTCACCGCCTTAGAACTGGCCCTTCCCAAGTTCAAGGCATCAGTAAAAAGGCATCAGTAAAAAGGCATCAGTATCCTCGCAACGCGATTAAGGACGACTCAAGTCTGAAAGTCTTTCTAAAATTCGTTTCTCGGCATATTCATGATACTGGAGAAGGTTTCAGGCTCGAAACACCAGCATCAGAGTCCAAACTCTGGCTTCTTCAAAACGGCAGAAACCCAAGTACTTAGACTTTTGGTGTGTTTTCTCCAAAGCTTCGGGTATCGATTTCTCTCGTGGCTAAATGCCGCACCGCCACATCAGGCTCCCGCGTCAAGGCACCAGCCTCATCCAAGCTCTCACCTCCAAACTGTCCTCAAGACCGCCTCTACCAAAAGCCTCCCTACAACCACCTAAGCCTCAGTCCCCCCCTTCCCTGCGCAACACCATCGCAATGTCAAACTACTACTCATCGCAACAACCGCAATACCCCGCCGCCGGCGGCCCCAACGCCGCGCAGAACCTGCAGTTCTTCCCCTCCCAGTACACAAACCCAGGCTCCTCGACACCCCAGCAAGCAGCAGCCGCAGGCTACGGATATGGCAACCAGGGCGGCTATGGCGTCGGAGCCCCAGCGCAGAACTTTGCGGCTCCCGCTTTTGGTGCGCAGGCCGTCAGTGGAAGGATGGGCGAGCAGGGCGGGTTGAGGACCGGTTGGGTTGCGGCTTTCTCGTCGGAAGGATATGATGGTGAACCGCCTTTGCTGGAGGAACTGGGCGTTAACTTTGGACATATCCAGGCAAAGGTAAGTTTTCTCCTCAATTGATTGGGTGGTGACGCTGATTTGTTCCAGACGCTCGCTGTGTTGAATCCCTTCCGACGTATCGACTCGCATATCATGGACGATTCCGATCTCGCGGGCCCCCTCATCTTCTTCCTTCTCTTCGGCTTCATTCTCCTCTTCTCAGGCCAAGTCCACTTCGGCTACATCTACGGCCTCGCCGCCCTGGGTTCCATATCCCTCCACCTAATCCTCTCCCTCATGTCGCCCTCCGACGCCAGCGATCCCCAAGTCAACAGCTATCCCCAATACAGCAGCGATCCATCCGCGCCTCAGCAACAACACGACGGTCAGCAGGGCGGCCACTTCTCCGCGACACTGACATACCCCCGCAGCGCGAGCGTCCTCGGATACTGCCTGCTACCGCTCGTGGCGACGAGCTTATTCGGCATCGT